GCTGAGCTGCGGCGCAGGAGCGGGCGGGCGGGCGGCCATGGCCTCCCCGCCGGGCGCCGAGAGCCGAGCGGACCCGGGCGAGCAGGAGGCGGCGGCGGCGTTGCAGGCGGAACTGGACGCGTGCCGCGCGCAGCTGGAGCGGGCGCGGCGGCGGCTGCGGCGCACGCAGCGCCTGTACCGGCGGGAGCGGGAGAGCGGCGAGGCGCTCCGGAGGCAGGTGGGGCCCGCACCCCGGGTAGCGTGGCCTCCGACCCCCGGGCCGGGCGGCACGGAATCCTCGTGGCCGCCACTCCCCCACCGGGAGCCGCTCGGCCCGCGCTCCGCTTGCCCCGTCCTCGCGATGTGCCCATTCCACAGGGTCCCTCAGCTCCCGGAGCTCGCCGGGCTCTCCTGGCCTGCGAGGGGCCAGAGCAAGTTTGAGGTTTCGGGTCAGAGCTTGGTGGTGAGAACGGTAGCGCCTTCTCTACCACAGGGCTAGATTTGGAATCAAAAGGAAAAATTACATGTAGTGGAGGAAAAGAAGTTTATTGAACGAAGTGTGAGGTAAAGGAGGAGTGGCAAAACTTCTCTGTGAATGCTGATGGCAAAAGAGGGAAGCCCTCACTGCGGTGTACAGCTTCCTTGTGAGGGGAGGCAGGCGGGCAGCAGTGATCTCTTCTCTGGCAGAACCCGAGGGAAGGGCCTCAAGGTGTGTCAGGGGCGTTTTAGATGGGATATGAGAAACAGTTTCTTCACACAGGGGATGCTTGAGCAATGGAAGAGGTCTTGCAGGGAAGTGGTCACAGCACTAAGCCTGGCAGAGCTCAAGGAGGGTTTGGACAATGCTCTCAAGCACATGGTGTGACTCTTGGGGTGGGTGTCCTGTGCAGGGCTGAGAGTTGGTGATCCTGGTGTGTTCCTTCTAGTTCAGAACATTCTGTGCTTTGCAAATGCCACAGTCATCACTACAGAACAGTGATCATTGCTTGAAATCCAGGTTTACGGGGTGGGCATTTAGGAATAACCTAAATGTTAGCCTAAGTTAAGTTTCTCTGGTCCTTTTTGAGCAGAAATTGTGTCTCTTTATGCCAACCATTCAAGTACAAAATTGTCTCTTGCCAAAAAAAATCACTTGAAACACCTGTGGTGCTGACCTGTGGTGCTGTTATGTATTGTTTGAATTACAGTATGCAAAATAGGCTGACTCTCTTTTGTGAGATGGCAGATCATTAAAATGCATTGTATTTTTATGTACACAATGTGCCTTCTCTACCACAGGGCTAGATTTGGAATCAAAAGGAAAAATTGCATGTAGTGGAGGAAAAGAAGTTTATTGAACGAAGTGTGAGGTAAAGGAGGAGTGGCAAAACTTCTCTGTGAATGCTGTTGGCAAAAGAGGGAAGTTTAGGGAAGCCCTCACTGCGGTGTACAGCTTCCTTGTGAGGGGAGGCAGGCGGGCAGCAGTGATCTCTTCTCTGGCAGAACCCGAGGGAAGGGCCTCAAGGTGTGTCAGGGGCGTTTTAGATGGGATATGAGAAACAGTTTCTTCACACAGGGGATGCTTGAGCAATGGAAGAGGTCTTGCAGGGAAGTGGTCACAGCACTAAGCCTGGCAGAGCTCAAGGAGGGTTTGGACAATGCTCTCAAGCACATGGTGTGACTCTTGGGGTGGGTGTCCTGTGCAGGGCTGAGAGTTGGTGATCCTGGTGTGTTCCTTCTAGTTCAGAACATTCTGTGCTTTGCAAATGCCACAGTCATCACTACAGAACAGTGATCATTGCTTGAAATCCAGGCGCAGGGAAGCGGTCACAGCACTAAGCCTGGCAGAGCTCAAGGAGGGTTTGGACAATGCTCTCAAGCACATGGTGTGACTCTTGGGGTGGGTGTCCTGTGCAGGGCTGAGAGTTGGTGATCCTGGTGTGTTCCTTCTAGTTCAGAACATTCTGTGCTTTGCAAATGCCACAGTCATCACTACAGAACAGTGATCATTGCTTGAAATCCAAGTTTACAGGGTGGGCATTTAGGAATAACCTAAATGTTAGCCTAAGTTAAGTTTCTCTGGTCCTTTGTGAGCAGAAATTGTGTCTCTTTATGCCAACCATTCAAGTACAAAATTGTCTCTTGCCAAAAAAAATCACTTGAAACACCTGTGGTGCTGACCTGTGGTGCTGTTATGTATTGTTTGAATTACAGTATGCAAAATAGGCTGACTCTCTTTTGTGAGATGGCAGATCATTAAAATGCATTGTATTTTTATGTACACAATGTATTGTGTTTTTAACATGCAATTTTTCTTTCAGGTAGAAGAACTCACTAAAGAAATCCACAATAGAAAGGAGAAAGATACGTCTAGTGTGGAAGTGCAGACGGAGGACTGTGCTGCGTGGTCACAAGCAGGTAGAGAGGGCGGTGACCGTTTAAATCGGGATATAGAGCAGTATCTTAGTTTGAAAATGCTGTAATGTAGAATACATTGCAGGTCTGTATCCTTTGCTGAATTAAATTCAGTAACCTGACTTAATCTTTCAGACTCTTTCATATTCATTTGAGGCATTAATTCAGGATAAAATGTATCACGGACTAGCGGAATTCACGTCATTGTAATTTGTTACGTAGTAATCTCATGTTGCAGATATACACACTTTACCAATTTTTGAAGTCTATGAAAACAAGACATAACTTATTCAGTAGAGTTAGAATAAATTCAGAGTAGAGGCACTACCTAATATTTGATTTTCATTAGATTACTTAATTGCATATATTTCCAGTTTAAGATTTAGCATCCTTAAACTCCATTAGTAAAAAACTGCCTTGCTAATTTATGCAACTTCAACTTCTCTTTCCCCTCTACCCCAGCAGATTATTACTACTATGAAAATTATTACAATCACACTGATATTCAAGATTGTGCATCTGAGCTACCAGTGCAGCACAGTCACAGGAGTGAAGGCACTGAGCATAATTCCACAGAGGAATTGGAGGCAGGTGTTAATATTCCACTGAGGAAGGATAGCACCAGAGCTAGTGAAGGTGGAGAAGAGGAACATTTCGTCGAGAATTCACAGGTTTTTGGACTGTCTGGAGTTTTACCAGTTTTGAAATCGGTATTCTGTTAATATTCCGTCTAAAAGATGTGTTTGCGGTCCTGAGAGCTTTATACAAAATTATTTTTTGTGATGGTCTAGTGCTGATAATACCCTTGTACTTCAAAACTAGTTCTTTTTGTAGTATGTTCCAAGCAGAGCACCCTCTGTGTCTTAGAGTTTGAGAGTTTTTGTAATCCTGCATGGCCTGGAAGTGAGATCTTTTTTATCAGTTGAGTATGTCCAATATGTCCATGCTGATTTTCCTAGAAAGTGCTTTTTATTTTTTCTTCCATTGACATAAAGAAGCGAGATATAAGGAGAAGAACATTTTGTGGTGGGTTCATTTTCTGCCCTGTTCTCCAACCTTTTCTTAGGTCACTCAGTTGATTGAGTTTGTGCCTCAGCAGCTAGCAACTGAAATGGAGCAGAGGGCAGAAATCTGTCTTAGGAATGCTCTGAAAGATGTTTTCTGTGTGTATATTTGGTGTGAGTCACTTTTGAGCAAAGTTGGAGAAAAACAAAAGACACAGGTTGAAGTCTTGGTCCTGTTGATATTAGTAGTTTACCAGTAAACCACAGCCAGATTTTTGCCTTCTGTAACAGTCCAGGTTCACAGAGCACTTACCTTTCTTGCTTTCTGTTACCAGGAGAAAGAAGAAACTTCAGTACCAGAAGGTTCTTTGGCAGAAAGCTTGAGAGCTGCTGCAGAGGCTGCTGTTTCACAAACTGGATTTATATATGATGAAAATACAGGATTGTATTATGACCATAGCACTGGATTCTACTACAATTCAGTAAGGATCATTTCCAAAATCCTTGGAATTTTTGTCTAAGTTTTGTTAGTAAAAGTTGATATGAGCAAAGAACTAAGATACAAGCTGATCTTATGTTTTGACAAACAGGTTACTGAAAATGAATAGTGTTAAAAGTTTGTTAATTAGTTTATTAATTACTTTAGTGTAATTAAAGATAGCAGGCTAAGACACAAGTTTAGATTTTAATTCTGTTTTTTGATGTCTCATAGGTGTCTAAGTTACTTGGCATTGTACAAATTCTGTGTTATAAAGAGGTCTGTGTATAATAGGTCTGTAACTCTTTCAGACCTAAAAGCTTGAGCTTAAAGATGTCTTGTTTAGAAAAAGGCATATTTCTGAAGTCAGGTGCTTCTCCACAGTGAAAAGAGTATTGGGAGAAAATACAGAGAATGTTTGTGCTTTTACTTGAGTACTTTTGCCAACTAGTTTGATTCTACAGGAAAAGAAAACACTTCTTTTAGAAGTGTTAGAAGAAATTTAGATGATGGTTAGAATTTCTTAATGGTTACTTTTTGCTATGCATTTTTATATCGCTTTTGCAAAGGTTTTCTTTGTGTCCTATGAAGTGTGTTTGTATATGTGTACAGATCCGTGGATAGATATGGCTACACTGTACTGCACTGAGAACGGAGTTTGTTTGCAGTGTTATATTCAACTCAACTGTAAAAAATGCATGTGGTACACAACTTTGTTTTCAGGATGCTTCTGGACGTTTTGAGGTGTTAAAGGATACCATTGGTTTTGACGTAAATGTTTGGGGCTATAGATTACAGTTTATGGTAGAATTATCCAAAAGGAATATCTTTTCTTGGTACATAAGTGTTCTGAATTGGGTTTGGTGGCAAAGTTCTGATGATGGGGCTGGCAGCTGCGGAGGTGGCCTCTCTGAGAGAAGGCCAGGGGCTGCCTGGAATGGCTCGTTCCTCTACAGGGCACAGCATGGCTATTAGAGAAGCTGGTGGTGCCTCTCTGAAACCGGTATAAGAAGGGGCACAGTGGAGTCTGTAGCGGGGCTGAGTGTGAAAAATAACCCTGTGAACACCAGGGGCGAAGAAGAAAGAGCAGGAGGAGGCTCTCCAAGCACCAGAGCAGCCAATTTCCTGCAATCCATAGAGCAGACCATGTGGAAGCTACTCATACTACAGTCCATGGAGGATCCCACACAAAAGCAGCTCCTTATGATGCCTTCTTTGGCTACCTAAAAACATAGACCAGAAAAATTAAGGGAATAAGATGCAGTTACATTTATTGAAAGGCCTTCAGGTACGTTTAGGGCAGACAAAGCCCCCCAAAGACTACACCCAGAATGGACGACAGGTCATGGGTTTTTATAAATTTGGTCCATATGCATTTTGGGGGTTAGCCTTCCAATGACAGTTTCAGGTAATGAAGTCATTTACCCCAAGTTTGCATCCACCCCCAGCTCACTTTTGTTTACATTTCTCAGGGCCTGAGACAGTGAGGAGTCCTGATTCCCAGGCCTGGAGAGGAACTGTTTTGTCTGGCCAAAATGGGAAAGCAGCAGCTAACACTCTATATGGAGTTTAGAGCTATACACTAAAGAATTGCAGGATTACAAATGCATGAAAAATATAAAAGCTAAAATCCTAAGGCACCACTTAGGCGACTGGAGTGCCCATGCCAGAGCTCAGAGCCCATCTCCCTGGTAGGAGCTGTGGAGGACCCATGCTTGAAGCAGTTCTTGAAGATCCCATGCTGGGCAGGGGAGAAGTAGCAGCAGAGAGGGACTTTTTGTTACTGATCTCAGCCCCTCTACTCCTCATTTCCCTGCACCGCTTGGGTGGGGGAAGACAGGAGGGGAGCTGGGAATGAAGTGGTACCATTGAGCTTGTGAAAAAAAAGGGGGTGGATGTTTTTAATTTGGTCCTTATCATCCAGCTGAATTTTAGCTATTTCCAAGTTGAATCTGGCTTGCCCATGATAGTGAGTTTTGTCTCTTGACCTATGAGCTTTCCATCTTATTTTCTTTACCAGTCTTGTTGAGGAGGAGAGTTGACAGAGTGATTGGATGGGTATCTGGGAGCCATCCAGGATCAAGCCACCACAGTTCTTTCATTTTATCAAAATTCAAAAGTGGTTCTTTATTAATCAGATGTTTCTTTCAACAGTATTTTTATTGACGTGATAACATTGTTCTTCATTTCTTAAAAAGGAAAACCAACTGTATTATGACCCAGCAACTGGAATTTATTACTATTGTGATGTGGAAAGCGGCCGATACCAGTTTCACTCACGAGTGGATCTGCAGTCTTACCAGGCCTCTGGTACCAAGCACACCAAGGATAAAAAGGGGAAAAAGAAGAGAAAAGAGCCAGAGTGGATTACTGCAGATGAGTATAAGGTAACCTCAGAACTGATAGACAGAAAATGCAAAATCTGTTGGATTTTTGTCCATGATGCAATTTATAGGCGGTAGGGCTTGGTTTTATGCAGAGAATGTATGCTTTATTTTTTAAACTATTTAAACATACTTAAACTGTATACAGCAGGTTGCTAACATGTAGTTAATGTTCAAATAACTTCCCCATTGAGTGATTAAGGATGAAACTTTTAACTTGTATCCCCTCACTTTTTCAATATTTTTTCAAATACTACCCAACTGTAAAGAAGTCTAAAACTGAGTGTCAGTGAAGTTTTTTGAATAGCAGGCACACTAGAATGAATTCAGTGTTGTGTGGGCTGGATTTACATGAGAAATTCAGTGGCAATATCTTGGGTTTGGGATTTTGGCTTGTGATTTGGTGTTGCTTTTTGTTTGGTTGGGCTTTTTCAGATTCACATTATCAACCAAAAAAAGCAAATTTTGAAGACATACTCAGATATACTCAGTAAGGATCTGAGTATATCTGAGTATATCTTCAATATATTGAAGATATACTCAGATATATATTCACAATCCTTTCTCTGTGACTGCCTTCCAGAGCGTAGTCCGTTGCATTTTACTGTATCTCTGCTATCATTTGGGATTGGTGTTTTTGAAGGTCTGTTTCTTTGCATATTGTGCTCTCCTATTGATACTTGTTCACTGTATTTTCATTGTCATTAGTGTGTGGATAAGCTGTACAGCCTAATGAATGCCCATTGTCATTAATATGTATTTTAAGTTGCAAAATTTTTCTGAGTGCTAAGAAAGCATATCATGTGGTGTGCTGTCTTGAAAAACATTACTGACTCCTGAACACTAAGAGGTACTAACACACCTATTAAACCTCAGGAAGCATTTCCATTATGAACACACTTATTGATGTTGAGTTCTATTCTGTCAATTTGTTTTATCATTTTAAGATAAAATTGAATATATTTGGTTTGCATTCTTCAAAGCTATTGCTTTGACCATTACATAGTTTCGTTATGTAGGCCTCAGACATGCAGGTTGGTTCTGAAATAATTACGTTACTGTCCAGATACTTGTATATAATTGTCATATAACATCAGTGTACAGTTAAAAAATTTAATCAGGAGTGAGGTCACCGTAAAGACTTGAAAATGGAAACTATTTACATTGAGAAAAAGTGTAATTAGGTTAAATGGATAGTGGTTGTTGACTGATTACACATTTTATAAACAAATTGTGGCTAATGCAGGAATTTCTGCTTCTTGAGGAAACTTCAAGTGAATCCTTCCATTTGGAAAGCTAGATCTGGGTACTTAGCAACACTAAGCATAATGCTTCTTTAGACTTCAGAGAACAGAGCTATTGCAGTGGAAGTGCAGTTTTACCAGCACCCAGGTTCAGGGCCTGCTCTGTACAAATGCTGAATTTGCATTCTGCTGCTCTCAAAAGGCATTAGTCAATACAGAACTTTATCCATCATGTGCCAGGAAAGAATCATGAAAAGCTCATAGGAATAAGTCATTATCATAAACAGATAAATAGGTCTCTTAAATTTAGTTCTGTGGTGAACTGTTGCCTAAACCAACAAGAGTGTTTATAAAAATTCTAAGCCGTGTATAGCTCTGACCTATCAAATAATTTTGCCTACTCTTTAGACTCCCATCATAGTAATAAAATCTGTAATCTGATTATACTAGAAATAGAGGTTTGTCTTAAGATTACTTTATACCAGTGTTTTTGTTTAGATAGTCTTGTTAACAGGTCTTTTCTGTGAGACTTCCACAGTCACAAGGTAGGAGGTAAACATCCATTTCTTTTCTTGTCTGTTTTATTGATGGCAAACTGAGTACTTTGCTTTATTTGTGAGTTAATTTGTTTGACCAACAAGGTAACAGGGAAAACATTTAAAGTATACTGTAGTGCACAGATTTTTTCTTCTGTGAATAGAGAGTGAAGGTCTATGTCAAGAAGTAATCATGGTCTTTTTAATTTTTTTAAACAAACAGGGAGAGTACTAAGTGAAATATAGGACTCTCCATTTTAAACTGCAAAAGTAAAAGAATGCCTTTCTGTTAGTGCACTTCTTTGTAAATGAACTGCTGAATTTAGAAGAAAAACTTACTGATATAGTTTACATAGCTGAGTTAAAACATTTTATTATTGTACTGTGGTTATTAATAACTTAAAAATTCAATGGTACATTAATATAAAGGATTAAGATTTTCTAGAATAACAGATGGCATTTTTCTGTTATAAAATGGGAAAATTAGTCTATAAGCTACACAGTCAAGTGCATAGATGCGTGGTATTTTTTGGCAGTATAATTGTTGTCCAGTTTAGTCTTGTATTGGCCAAGGCACTAATCAGTTTATAGTAGAATAAAACTAAAAACATCTGGTTTTAAATAGGACTTTGTAGTTGAAGCATAGTGTATTGAAATGCTTTTCTCCAAACGTACTGCCCAGCCTTCTCTCTCTTCTTTTCCCTGAATGCTGTTTAAATTACTGAAGTTATAACAATGCTTTTGAAGACTAGTCCCTCATTACTGCTTTTCCCAATTGATTATTGAATTGTGCTGCTAGCCTGAAAAAATGGTCCCAACATTGCCTCATTTCTTGACCAAAGTAGGTTTTTACTTGTCTTGCTTTTTCTACAGATGGTACAGATAGGAGAAGGGTTTGGATTAATGCCTGGGCTGTGGACCATTAGTGTTAAAAAAGTCGGGTGTCCTTCTGGAGCATGTCATTCACCCCATGAACTTTATAATTCTTGGGTGAAGCTGAGGTGGTTTATAAGAATATCCATGTAAAGCAGAGGAAGACAGCAGTACTTACAGAATCATACCAATTTTTTTCCTCTTTTTTAGTTAAAGGAATAAATGTAAACAAATATTTATAGATATTTATAATTACTTAGAAATTGTCAAATACAAGAAATAAGGAAATTTAGCAGTTGTGTGTAGATTATGAAGCATATATTTCTAGGTAGATGGTATTAGTAAGCAATGATTTTTACCAAAATTGCATGTGATTTTTGAGTGACTTAAAGTTAGTACCTTTTTTTGTTTAAAAAATGATTGTAACTGGAACAATCCATTAACTTTCTGTTTCTGGTCACAGGAGGGTTTTTTTGTTGTGGTTTAATTTCTAGCTATTATGAGGAAGTTCATATACTCAGCTATCTTATATACAGTATTTTTTTGCAAGCAGAAAACTAGGATACTTAACAATACAGAAACAGCGAGTTGTCAAAAAATGTTGTAGCATTCTTAAAGAAAACCCAATATAATTCTGAGAATGTAAAGGATAAAATTAATATGTTAAAATATTATTGCATTTTTTAAAAGGTAAATAACCTTTTGAAAAGCAAGAAAATACTCATAAGTGTTGGCTAACATCAATGTAATTCTAATTGTAAAAAACAGCGGAAGGGAAAATCATGTGCTTACTATCACCTGGGGAATGTGCAATTCATACAAGAACTTTCCTTAAAGACAAATGGATGCTTTCCAGTCACAAACTGAAACTATATTACAAATAGTTTCTTTTTACTTGTGAAACAAAGTATGCTATCTCTACTAGCTTGCTTTTAACTGACAATCAGGATTTATTTTTTTTTGCCAGGATGAAGTGTTAGCCTCTGTGCAGGTTATATAAAAACATTTGAGAATACCTTGGAACTTTTAGACATACAGTTTAGTTCTGGTATCTTTTTGTAGGGGTAGGTCAGAAAAAAGGTGGGTCAAGTAACATGGTATTTTCTTCTGTACAAGAAAAACCTTTAAATAAGTAAATTTGGAAAAGTTTAAACATTTTTAAAAGGTGACATAAGTGATAATAGGATCCCTGGCCCAATATCAAGATCCAGGGTTTCCATACATTCCAGTTTGGAGAGTAGACTGTGTGCGGTAGTGATCCTGCAGTTCTTCTTGCTGCCTTGAGGCTGTTGGAAATACATAGCAAAATTTGGAAGGAAGTTCTGACACATGCCATTTTTTCCATAAATTGTTTTTAAATTGTGGGGGTTTTTTAATTTTCAAGGTACCACCTACTAAATTTTATTTCAGTGTAGTACTCAAAATTAACTTTTACAATGTTCTTTTCCATTACAGATTCATCATAGCTATTTCTGTAGGAGAGGCAAGGTGGTTTTAGCAGTGTTTCCCATAGAACTCTTGAAGCAGTGAATTTTTTACTTTTTTATCACATGTAGTTTACTTTTTGCTGATATTCATCCCATCTTTAGGTACGTCAGTTGACAGAAACCATGGCTAATCTGAAGATTTCTTCTTTTGGATTGGCAGCTTCTGGTAAAGGTAGAGTTGAGACAAAAAACACACATTAGTCCATGGATGTTTACCTTTAACCTTGATATTTTTATTAAAGAAAAAAGAATATCTAGTAATTGATGTTTAGATACATTTTTTTCCTAAAGGAATTAATACATTTTTAAGCTATTTAATCAAAATCCATTCACCTGCAAAGTAGCTTTGAAATAGATTTTAAATACTTTGTAAGTAACATCTGAAGAAAACTTTGATGGCATTGTAGAATATTTGGGAAGAGAAGTGTTTAGCATCCCTGTATAACATAAAGGTTCTAGACTAAAAAAACTACTCATTATTTAGGTATGGTTATTTAATTCAGAGCTGTCCACCACCAGTATACAAAATGGCTCCTGTATGCTGTAGGAAGAGGGATTTTTTCTGGCATTTAATTAGATTTTTTTGCCCTGGAAAATTGAGTATTGTGTAGGGTGGATGAGAGTAACTGAAGTACTTGTGGAATGATTTTAGCACATGAAAGCTTAGTCACTCAAGTGAAAGAGCTATTTTTAAGTGTTTGAAAATATTTCTTCAGTAAAATACTGAATTTCAGATTAATTTCATATTGAGGGTGTCAATGCTAAAGGTATATTATTCAGTCCTGTAAAAGAGTGCTGAGAGCGAATGATTCTGCTAAATCACCTACTGAACTTCTAGCAGACCAAAAAACAGGCTACACATTTGAGAAAAGTTGTATCTGTCTATATTTCTCTGCTTTGTATAAAATAAATTCAGAAAAAAAAAGTTTAAACAACGTTGTTCTTCGAATTGAGCCAATTATGCTTACAATAATAAGTTACCACGTATGGGGATGCTGAATAATTGCATGAACATGCATGTTGGTCAGCCATAGTAAGAAAAATTGAAGTTTTGAAAGACAAAATGTCTTCCTCTGTAACAGTAAAGCAAAAGGTATAGTTAAATGCTTAAAATACTTTGGAATTTTCATTAAAAACAGTGAAATTACAAGTATAATATATCATTTCTAAGTAGGACAGTCTGCATTTCAACAGGTCATTGTAATCAGTAGTTTGTGGCGTATTCTCTATATAAAGTGAAACCATCAGTTCCACTCACATAAGCATGATTTGTTGTTCTTACAAGATCAGTCCTCATGGGATACATAAATATCCTGATGTCCAAGTACTTTCAGCTGACTTTTTCAGGGATACAGAAATCTGAACCAACTCAACTCTAGTTAAAAAACAGTTTATTTTCTATCAGATTGATAGCACCTCTCAGCTTCAGCTTAGTGAGAAAAATCACAGAGATCACATGGCAATACCCAGTAGATATAAAATTTTTCAAACTGGATCACATTGAGTCTATTCATGTCTTAACTCAAGACTGTTGGTGTCAATCTAGATGTATTGGGCAAAGCAACAACAAAAAAATGTATGTGTATGAAAAAATATCATGGTGTGAAAAATGGTTATAATGAGCATCTACTTGCACACTTTGTGTCTCGTGGCATGAGTTTCGGATGAAGAGTTAGGTAGTCATTGAGAAATTAAGTTCATTGCTAGAATTACAGGGTACTAGTACCCTGAAATACTACACTAATATTTACCGAATTTTGTGCTTACTGCCAGTTCCTGGTTTTTAAGTGATGCCTATGTGGAGGCAAGGCATTAGATGCTGTTTGCCTAGTTAGACTTTATTACATACTACACATGTTCTGTGTTAGTACTGGTAGTCAGCCATGGTTACTCCAGTCAGCAACTGAGCCCCAGACAGCTGCTCACTCACTCCACTAGCAGCAGGATTGGGAAGAGGATTGGAAGGCCAGGAGTAACAAAACCTGTGGATTAAGATATATCCACGTGCGCAAACAAAAGAAAAAACAATGAATTTAATTCACTGCTTCCCTGTCCGGGCCGGCAGGTGTTCAGCCATCCCCAGGAAAGCAGGGCTCCAGCACAGATAATGGTGACAAAGGCCAAATTGTCAACATCCCTTCTGCTTCCTTGTCCCTCCCCCAGCATTTACTGGCAAGCATGATGCCATACAATATGGGATAATCTATATAGCTGATCCCAACTGTCCACAGGGTGTGTCTTGCTTCCAACTCCTTGCGCACTCCCACCCTCCTTGCTGGTGGAGTGGTGCAAGCAGCAGAAGAGGCCTTGGTTTGTGTAAGTGCTGCTCAGCAATAAGTTAAAAAAAACCTCTGTATTATTAGCAGCCACATCTTCAACACAAATCCAAACCACAGCCCTACACTAGGCACTGTGAATAAAATTAGCTTTACGCCAGCCAAAACCAGTACATAGTCATACATAATGGAAAAGGATGTCTGTAACACAAGATTGTGTCAAATGCTATAAGGTTCATCCAGTATCTATATGCTTAATGTTTATACATTTTGTCCAGATGTGCATTTTAATACGGATCCATAAAATCATGAAGTGCTCAAAATACATATTCAGTTTTAAAATTTTTGATTTCATACAAGGTTTTCAAATGTGAAGACTGCATTTTTATCAGTACTTAACTATTTAGTTTATTTGCTTTCTTAACAGTTGAATGCAGCAATTGTGAAAAAATATAGAAACTGCTGAAAAGAGGCTTAATGGTCATACTGGCAAAATCATAAAATGAATGTATGTGTGGAATCCCTGGTCTGTTTATAAGACTGTTTAAAAAAATTCCTGTTTTCAACACAGAACTAAGAGTCTACTCTTTAGTATCCAGGCTTTGAAACAGCACCTTTTTCCTTTCGAGTTTAAAATATCACAGGCATCACTGTTGGAATTGAACGGTTGGAGCCTTGAACTTGGGCATGAGTGCATCAGTCATATCTTGTTTTGCCTTGCTTGTGACTTGAGCAGGTCTAGTTTCTTTGTTTTCAGATTAGATTAGATTAGAATACCCTGAGCTACTTTGTTAGTTTATCCTTTTATAGAAGTAATATGTTTTAGAGTGCAGAACACCTTGGTATGTTTGGTATCAATATAATACCTGTACCAAACATAAATATAGACAAACACACTGAAAAATATAACTCATGAAAGGAAAAACTAGATTTTCCCAAAATATTTCTAATGGAATTAATATGTTTGACATGTCTAAACTGTATAGGCTTATTTGTGGCAGGACTACTACTTTTTTTGTTTAAAATAAACAACATTACACAGCGACCTTGCTGTCCTGTTCCTTTCTATTCAAGAATTAGGGGATTCAGGGAGGAGGGCTAGTGCTTTATCGAGAAACCCTGAACAAACCAATAGTTAAGGCATAAAAGCCTTTTTTAAAAGCATTGGTTTTATCTGAGAACCTGCTGTCTTACTGAAGGTGTTTCAAAGGTACACTCTCCTAACTAACAGCTGAGAGGAATTCTTGTGTTTGTCATAGTCTGTAGCACTGATGCGTTTTAACAATTCTGAGAGTGCTTTAATTTCCGCTATAGTAAACATTCACATTATTTCACTTAACTTGAAATGGAAACACATAGAAGAAAGTCAAGGATATATTTTTTACCTGTGGTGTTGCGATATTTGATACAATTCAAGGCAATTGAAAGCTTTTATTCTGAACTAAAAATGGCACATAATTTAATCTGAGATTTTATTTATCTTTTAAAGCTACTTCTGTTCTTTCTCTATTTTCTCTTTGTTTTCCTTTTATTTTTTTAACATAGTTGTCAAGCAGCTAGATTGAGAATTACATTTTCAAGGTACTCTGGCAAAATTAATATGAAACTTCAGATTTCTCAGTTTTAAAAAGTTGGGTGTTTTTTTCCCTGATGATGAAATAAGTGAAGTGGAAGAACCTGTAGTGATCCAATCTGTCTCATATTCAGTAGAGAAACTGAGAAACTTTTTGCAGTAGAAAATGGATTTTTAGTGTAACTATTTCACATAGCATAAGTTAAGCTTGTACTCTCTGTCTGCTGTCTTGATTAAAGGCTCTGTTAAAGATGTGATTTTGAAAGGAGGAAGAACAGGTCTATAGTTAAACCATGAGTGAGCATTCCAGATATTCTGGACTCTGGTAATAAGAAAGAAGACAAAAACAGGAGGAAGATAAAATGAAGATCAGTTAAAGACCTGCAAGAATTGAATAAGAGAGGGGAAAGAAGTGAGTGTCATGAAAGTGAAATAGGAAAATATTCAAAGTGATGTTGTACGAGTTTGAAAATGAGGACAAGATTCTGAAGTTTCTAAACATTTCTAAAGTGTGATAAAAGAGTGACATTTAGAAGAGGAGTAAGTGAAATTTAGAAGAGGAGGGCAGTCACACTTTCCGAAATAGAAGATGGTCTCAGTCACATCTAACAGGATGTGAAAATATTTTCACTGAAATGTAAAAGTTCTGCTGATTGCATGTGTAAAACTTTCTGGAAACAAACTGTTTCTTAGTAGTTCTAAAAATAATTCTTCCTAAGTGAAGAATTTAATTCCAGGCTATTCTTTAGAAAAACTCAATCTGTAAAGACTGTAACATTGTATAACTCCCCTCCAGGATTTGGACACAGAAGAGCAGAAATCATCTAACAGTCTGAATTGCTTTTCCATCACCGAGCAAGTAAGTTCTACTGAAGAAGATGAGTCTCCAAATGTAAGAAAGAAGACTAAAACGGACACAAAACCACTAAACAATCTAACAGCCAAAGAATCCATTTCTACAGATGGTATAAATACACATTCGCACAAAAGTATACCAGACACTGCAGCATATACAGATGACAGTAGAACAGCAGACACAGAGAGTGAACCAGAAGAAGGTGAAATTACAGATTCTGAGTGTGAAACCTACAGTGAGGAGGAATTAACAAGTGAAGAAACTGATGATTCAGAATACTCAGAAAATGAAGGTGAATTATTGTGGATTATATGTGGTATTACTGTATTTTTCCAGAAGCCTGTTAAAAAAACCAGTTTGGATAATTTAAAAAAATATATAAAAGCATGTGACTTGAGATGCTTTGAAAACATTCTATATGTTACCAGCATTTCTTTCCCTCTCTTCACTTGTATAAAAGTAAGTAGTAGTTTTTATAAAAGCTGTTACTGATGTAACATCTGTGCTTGTGTGGAAACCTCAGGGATTGCAAAAATATGGTTTGATTGGGAAAGTGAAAGGAGAAAAGAAACTCTGGTGCTAAAATAGGGGTTCTAGACCAGTAATTCACAGTAATTCTGTATATTGAATCTCTTAAATTAATATACAGTATTTTTGATACTGTTTGTAAACCATCATGTGCAATTGAATGTAAGATGGGTCTACTGTGGTGAAAAGCAGCATGGAGTAGTCAGTACTAGTTGAAATCCTATTTTGTTTATATTCCAGTGGCAAATTGTGAGAAATGGATATAGACATGAAACCTGCATACTGTTTTATACCAAAGTGTTCTGCTAGGTCCTTAAAAAACAAAACAAACCCCCCCCTCAAAAAAAAAAAAATTTAAAAAAAAAGAAGGTAACTTGTGAAAAGCTTGATACAGCCAGTCAGAACTATGGATGTGCAAAGGATATAAAACTTACTGTAGCCTGGGCCCTGCTCACAGTTCATTGTCAGTTAGTTTCTTATGTTTCTATTACTTTACTTAACTGCTCAGATTGTAGGTGATTAATGCCATCCAAAATGTGCTTGCTACCATCAGGCTTTCAGACTGAATTGTCTTTTCCTAATATCCAATTTGGCAGTAATGCTGAAGTAATAAAAACTGGGACAGTTTCTCTTCCCCTAGTACCTTTTAAGGTAGTGTCTTCTCATTTATGTCTGCTCCTAGCTGAAGGTCATTGGAGATTGTTTCTACAAATGTACATCCAAGTACAGAATTCATACAGCTGTCAGAATATAGTATCTTAATATAATAATCAGGCAAAAAAGCATATGCATCTGTAGGTTCTGTTTATTATTTTTTCTTATCCATGTTGATGAATAGCATTCCTAAGAGAAAAAAACAGTAAAAATACATTTGACATAGAATTGTCATATATAAAGTTTGATATGCGGTAGGTTTGTGATGTGGTGAACAAAAATATACTGCCTTTTCTCAAAGTAAAATTGCTTTCTAATTTGTAACAATTAATGATCCATAAATTTACAGTATACTAGTAAATTTTGTGAATGTATGTATATTTTACTGCTGTAACGAATTGTCCACATGTAAACTGGAATTAGGAAAACATTTGTAATACTTTGGTCTGCAGTCAGAAAGCCTTTGAAACAACAATCTCATCAAAGTTTTCTCTCAGATGTTGTTACACATTTCTTTTCATGAATGTTGTATATTATTCAGCCAGGTAATGGCTGAAGGTTTTCAGTTTTTTGAAAATAGACTGTAAAGTTAAAACTGAAATGTATTGGTAGTAATGGTGGTGGTGATTTTTTTTTCTATATAATTACAGATGAAGAAAAGATCTGGCCTCCTTGTATCAGAGTAATTGTAATAAGATCACCAGTTCTGCAGACTGGGTCACTTTATATTATCACTGCTGTGAAATCTGCTACAATTGGAAGGTAAAACTGAATGAAATTTTATATAAATATATATCTCAAACTGCCTATCTTTGAAAGCTGTGGGAAGCACTTAGGATTGCATGTCTCTACTCTTCGCGCTTGTCTTCCTAGCCTGCAGCAGTTGTGAGGCAGTCAGAGTTTGGTTAGTCCATAGTAAGAAAATCAAGTCAGGTCACATAATAACATGTCCTGATGATAATGTAACAGCGTACATACTTAATGCAGCTCAGCAGACCTGACTAGTTAGTGATAACTTGAGGTTATAGAGCCCCAGTGGCAATATAGCTGCAAGTCCTTCTTTGAACACTTGTTTCATAGAAAGTAAGTAAATTTTGTCCCAGGCCACTGAAGTACTTTTTTTTCAGAAATGGAAGAATGCCCTTCAGAAATCCAAGATCCCCAGAAAGCATATCCTAGACTTCTTCACACCTTCAAATTTCAGAAGGGTTTGTTCACTGGCTTTAAATAGTAAGCTGGTTTGTGCTAGACTGTATGCATTCTTCAGTTCTAAACCTGGTTTGTTCATTGTGGATGATGAATTTATTGATGATGTAAAGCTTTCTTCCTTGCTTACTTGAAAACCTTACCCTGGAAAAGCTGTTTCTGTCTAATGCTGATAGACATATTTTGATTTGCTCTTAAAGGTTGAGGCTGAAGATCAAGAGACAATTCTACTTTGAATTTGCATATAGGTCTTTTACTAGCTGCATTCCTTCTTAACCCCTTAGTATAGGAATGTAATACACAAATCCCTTCTTCCTACTGCTTCATTGTTTTGATAACAAAAAATGCAAACAGACCAAAACTCACCCTGTACAGATTACTCTTTGTTTACTTGTGTTACCTACCTGATGCCAGTAAGAGTTCAACTTCACCATGGAACATGGACACCAAGATGCACTAAAGAGCCTGAAGGATGCAGAGTTCAGACTGTTAAAGGGATTGCATGACAGTTCAGATAGAAACATCAGGTTTATAGATAAGAATTTATTTGTACTGTTTGATGATTTATTAATCATCTGCTTTGTATCATTTATACGAAGGGACCTGAAGGAAGTCTTTACATTGTATATACAGCAACACAATGTTTCCTATCTCTAAAAAATTCTTAATAGCTTAGAATAGAAATACGATACTACAGTTCAACTGAAATATATACCTTTCATAAGCCACTTAAAAGACCTATTTATACTTTGTTGTGATTTGTATATCAACTTGCCTTTCCAGAGAAAAAGATGTTGGACACACGCTTCAGATTCCTGAAGTTGGAGTCAGTAAGGTAACTCTTGTTCATGTCTGCTGAATGGTAGATCAGAAGACATAAATATATGAATGAAGCTTTAGATTTTATGGCTTTAAATTTGGAACATTGTGTTAATTTTTTGAAAGAACTTTCAGAATGAGGTATGGCTTTAGCCAGACTTAAATTTAGAAAAAAGGGAAACATACTCTATTTTACTGAATGGGAACTTAACACAAACAACAATGTATTTTCAAAGTCTTTGAGTCTATAATTTTGTAGTTATTGAACTTGAGGACAAACCCTGTAAAGTACTAACGGTATATACAATTTTAATGTTAGATAGTAAGAATTTCTTTACCAAGTAATGCAATCCTTGCAGTTACGCTCAGAGCAAATGGGTTTCTTATATTTTCTTTCAAGCAACTGTGGAAATTATATAGAGGGGCTTTGAAAAATTAACAGAATTCCTTTCAATTGTAGATTGAATGGAAATTTTAGTTTTAAATTGTTTGCTCTGTTTTGCTAAATACTACAACACAGACCCTAAATACAGCACTCCTAATAAAATAAAACCATAAATTCACAAAGTTTTGTCATCCAAACAAAAAGTTTGTTAAAAAAAATCTATAAATGGCAGTATCTCATGAAACACACTTTACTATGTCTATTTTAAATGATAGTTCTCATTAATCATCTGCTATATTTCATATTGAATAATTTCTGGAGTAAATATTTCCCTGCTATTAATAACTTTTTCAGGTATGTGTTTGAAACTGGACAAAAAAAGAAGCCAAAAGGCTTTTATTTTTCTGTAATGTTACCATTTCAGTACTTCACAGATACTGACAGTTCATATAAGAAGTTACTTCACTTTTGAGACAGGGAGTCAAAGGTGAAAAGATAAATTATGTACCTGCAGAAATAAAATGTTATGTGCTAGTTTGTTTTCCTCACTATTCTTACGTTTTAGCTGTGGTCAACTTTGGTGTTTGCTTTTCTTGAGTGGAAAGTGAGATTTACAAAGCTTTTGGTTCTATTCAGTAAAGCAGAAGTAGAAAATAAAATGTCTATTGAATGAACTAGTCAGTCCGCATCATTATGGGAGTGTTCCATGTAGTAAGAAATGCTAGCCAATCTGCAATTTATTTTTTTGTTAACTTAAAACAGTAACTACAATTGCACTAAACTGACAAATTTGAAACAGTCACTTCTCAATAGCCACTTCTTTACACTTAGTGCTTTTACTGGAAGTCCTAATAGGTTGGAGAAGTTGATACTTTGGTTTCTTTGGTGGCCTTTTCTGGAGGTGGTACATATCTTTATGAATTTGGTCAGGGGTTGCACTGTTTCTGGTCTGTGGGAGCAATACCGATACAGAACTGCAACAAGGCAAAAAAAAACCAAAAAAAAAAACCTAAAAAAAAACCACCCACCACATTATTAGTCTCAGTATTAGAAAGGTGATAAAAGAAACAGCAAGAGATTGATACTGATTGTGTCCTGAGTGTTAAGCCTAAAAAAAAAAAACCACCACATTATTAGTCTCAGTATTAGAAAGGTGATAAAAGAAACAGCAAGAGATTGATACTGATTGTGTCCTGAGTGTTAAGATCCAGGAGAAGGCGAGTTATGTGAAAGTTACAAAAGCATGGCATTTAGGGAGTTATTTCAGATACAAAAGACCAAGTAAATGGAAGCAGAATGAGATCTATTTTTAAATCAGAGTGCTATAAAGTACCTTAAGAGCAAAAAGCCTGTTATTTTAGTTAAGAAAGCTATATTACTGAATCTTGCAGTTCTTTAAGTAAAGCATACTTGCCACATTGGAAGAATATAGTTGTCCAGTACTGAATCAGCTTATGAACAAAATCATTATATTAACTGTATACATTTAATTCATGCTGTTGTGGCCCATTAATTTACATTTCACAAGAATGAAATCATAAAATGTGAAAACTTTATTAACTTAGAGTACCAGAGCCACTAATTTCAAAGGTCTCAAAATATATTCTGAAATCTTACTTTAAAATAACATTTAAATTGTTAAGTATTCACTTAACAAGAACGTTTAACTTAGGCTTCTATTTGTCAGTTTCACGCAGAAGTGTATTTCGACCATGATCTGCAGAATTATGTTCTTGTGGATCAAGGCAGTCAGAATGGAACAGTTGTTAATGGAAATCAGATACTCCAGGTGAGTACCTACTGTTTTAGTGCGCTGTACATTGCAGAAAACTAATCTTGTGGTTACTTTAAATGTTTTACAGCAAATCACTTAAAATGCCATTGTATGTCTTCTTTCATACATTAATGCCTGCCTTGGTTCCCTTCTGATTTTAGGACCACTTGGAGTACTGAATGTTTGGTTATACTAGGAAAAATCCACTATGCTTACAGTTGCTAGATTGAAATACCCACTGTAGTTAAACAGTTGCCTGCATTTATGAGACCACACTAAACTACTGAGTTGTAAGCAGTGTGCATGAAATAGAGTTTGTGCCCTTCACGAGTTTTTAATTTACCTGCAAAACTTTCTTTTGGTGTAGCCTAAAACAAAGTGTGATCCCTACATCCTGGAGCATGGAGATGAGGTGAAGATTGGCGAAACTGTGCTTTCTTTTCATATTCATCCTGGCAGTGATACTTGTGATGGATGTGAACCAGGACAAGTTAGAGCACATCTTCGCCTGGACAAGAAAAAAGAGTCTTTCGGTTAGTAATATTATCACAGTATACATTTTTATTATGGCTGTTTACTTTAGAAAAATAATATTTAGTTCAGTTTTCGTATAATTTTCTTGTCAGCTGATAATAGTTGTACATAATAATGTATTTTTTTCTTGGCATATGCATCTGTGTATAATAATGTCAGAACAAAAATTCTCTCATTAGTCTTATGATTCAAAACATTAGATTAGTAATTACAAATTCAATCCTGTGTTCTTCCTTTTAGTTTGTCCAGCACTTAGCAAAGAAGAGAGAGAGCTAGTCAGAAGAAAAGCATTAAAACAAATACGGGTAAAATATGGTTTACAGGTGAGTTTACAGTAGAAGTTGATTAAGTTTTTGTGATCTTGTGGTTCTTACTTTTTTTTTTTTTAAGTACTTTCTGATTCCTATTTTAAGCTATAGACTTTGTTGCATAAGGGAGGTTTTCAAATGCCCCAAAACAGCCTCATTTGTCTTTTGTACCCTAAATAATTATGCTTTACAAACCTCTGCAAAGAAAGATGATGATAAGAGAGCATGAAAGTTCCAATGAAAATTAGAAAAAAAGATCCTTTCAAAGTGTACAAGATTCCTAATCTTTGGAAGTTAAGATTTTGCAAGACACTTCAGTTTTTATTTCTGTAGATTAAGTTTTCAATGAGTTGAAGTTCTCTCTTTCATTTGTAAGGGAAACATAATGAGCAACTGAAAAAATTATGGAAGGGAATGGGAATTTTTTCAGGTTTTTAAGTCCATAGAAGAACACCAACATGAACATACAGGCAATATATATATATGTATTCAAATTACTTCTGTTGTGGAAATAATTTTAACATGCAGTTGCTTCCAGCATTCGTACTAAGTATACGTGTAGAAAACAGAATGCCATCGTTTCATTCAAGTTCTTCAGGTACCAAAATAATACTGATACAGAATCTGTAAACCTACTTGTTCTGTCATTTATCCTGAAAATAAGTAGGTACTGAGGAACAGGCTAAATTGTTATATAAAAAGCCAGTGGCATGTGCACATGATTTTCTGCTTAATATGGAGAGATTGACTCTTCATACCAAGAGAAGATTTAAGACAATCTGTTATTTTATTTACAGCTTATGAGAAATTACTGAATTTGGCAGTGTTACATGATGATGGCAGTAATATGGTTTATAAGTATGCCTGTAAGCTAAGAAAATACTAAGTGAGGACTGCAGGTTTTTTTGTAAGATTTACAATTAATAAAAAAGGCTGAAGCTCCCATACTTTTGGAGGGAAAAAGGGAAGTTAACAAAAATAAAGAATTTAAACCCCGCTCTCTTTGTCTTGATGCAATTGAATCTGCTTGGAAAGAACACAGAATATGAAGACAACAAGGCAGTGAAAAATCCGAAGTACAAAGACAGAGCAGGAAAACGCAGAGAAACTGTTGGAAGTGAAGGAACCTTTCAGAGAGACGACAGTTCAGCTTCTGTTCATATGTAAGTTGGGGGTGGGGGAAAGGATCCCCCATGCCCTTCTCTTGTGAATCTTCAAAAAATTATAATGAAATAAGTATCAATTTGTTACTAGTGTGCAGTTTGTTAAATTACAAATTACCTGTATATATTGTGTTAGGAAAGCTAGAAAATTTTAAGTTTTTCACACTTCCCATTTCACGTGCTTTTATTTATTAACTCATCACCTTCCAAATAAAAATATATGGAAGGTAAGGAGTAAAGGATGGCAGTAAGGATGTTTACATCACTTCCTTACCAACTCAAAAATGTAAAGAACTCCCCAGCTGCACTAGTGACATCTTCAATAGTGTCTGTTTTTCAAATTGTTCAATTTTCATTTTTCCTATCCAGTCCCAGTAATAGTACACATGCAGATTTTTCACCTGCAGATTTTCACCTGCAGCTTCTCTCACTGTCAATATTCAGCCATTCAAGGACATGCATTTACATATCTCTCAAATCACACTTGATGTTGTTGCTTTGCCTCTGTAGCTGTAGTTGGGTTTTTTTAAGCAGCATAAACTTGTAGGTGTGTGTAAATTAATAAAAGGAAGTGTGAGCTGATGAAATAGGTGCAGTAAGATGATTTGGCAGTGATACCGCTTTTTCCATATTGTAATCCATACCCTCCTACCCATGATGTATCTTTTACTATGTATCTTTAACTCCCAAAGCAAGCAAGTAGTTCAGAAGTTTTAAGAAAGCTGATAGTGAACTTGTTCTTCTGGATGACTCTTAATGGACTGATTCCTGATTTGTACGTATGCACATTTCTGTTGTTCAGTATTTGAAAGCATACTCTTTATATTAACTCTTGCTTATCTTAAACTTTCTTCAAAGTGAAATCAGCAACAGCAACAAAGGACATAAAATGCTGGAGAAGATGGGATGGAAGAAGGGGGAAGGTCTGGGAAAGGATGGTGGTGGCATAAAGGATCCGGTAGGTCTTTCTGGTTTTCACTTGAGACAAAAATAATAGGAATGTATTTGTAGTGAAAAGTATCTAAGTGTATGCCACTATTCATTTGAAAGTTACAAAAACCCTGGTTAAGAAGGAATAATCTCAGTAGAACTAATCTCAAATTATTTTTTCTTTGACTAATGGGTTATTTTGAAATTTTTCAGTACTGTTGTCCCTTCACTACACTGTGCTCATTAGGAAACTAAGCAAAGGAGGACAGACATCTAGCCTTTTAATTAATAATCTCATATTTGAATACAAAGTCTGGAGCAAAATTGGAATAATGTAAGTGATGTGATTTGAAAATCAGTTTAGGGTGGAATTCTTTCTTAGAGGCTGATGTAGCACAAAAATTGAGCTAGATGATGGGCATTGAGAGAGGAAGAGATGGCAGAGGTTACTGTAGCCAGCAAGTTGTGAGCCTCTGTGGCAGCCGTGTTAGCCCATTTTTGTCACCAGAAATGTGTTGTCTTTTGGCAGTAGTGCTGCTTAGAGCCATACCATACTCTGTGTTGTCAAACTAGCCAGTATAGGGATCATATGCCACTCACTCAGTGAGGTGTATTTCACAGTAATTTTTGTGGCAGGGGACATTATTTAGGACTCTTGATCATAGTTCCAGAAATGCTGATCTGACACATCATTTTCCTGGTACTGTTCGTGTATGATCTAGGTGTTTTAGAACATGAAAGAGAAGTGCTTGGGGAGAGGGCATGGCGTATTAGAAAACCAGAATTTGTAGCATTTAGAATACCTAACTTGCAATTACAACAGTATTTCATGTATTTGACAGATCCAACTGGAGTTACATCAGAAGCATGCAGGTTTAGGTACTAGGAGACCGGCCTCAATTGAAGACGTTCAGCTTGTCCAGAGCAAGAATAAAAAGAACTGGGATAAAGCAAGAGAGAGGTTTGCTGAAAACTTCCAAGACCCTAAATCACAAAGGGATACAGCTAAGAGTACACTTTGGGTTAGAGGGACTGTAGACTGAACTATCTAGTCCCACAGCAAGGTAATTCCTGAGTATAAATAGTTGGGAGAGAATTTATTTTTATTCTTTTTGCTTTTGCTAAAGCAGGAGTTTGGTTATATGTAAAATACAGTTGTGGAAAAATTTAATTCAAGATTAACTCTGTTATGTTAATTGGTTTTCTGTAGTCTTCATGCTTTTATACACATTTTTAATACAATATGAATGGAGTTCAGAGGGATATTCAAATTTAAGTACTTGAAAATTATTTTCATCAGAAACAGGAATCTTTCATTATGTTTTTACACTTCACAGAAAGTTACGCAAAACAACTGTTACACTTAAATATGATACCTTTAACACTTGAACAGTGGTTTAAAATCAAGGTGAAAAAATAAATCCCCCAGATCCCTAGTAAAAAAAAGTACCATATTGCTGTTTCTTCATGTTTGCCATTAAGTGCTCAACAAGAGACACACCACTCTTAAATTTATACAGTTCAGTACTAGTGACAGGTCTCAGCATACATTGGGCAAAGGAAAAGTGGGGGGGAAAGCTTGTTTTTAAATGATTCATCATTACTGTTCAAAAATACCATACTCCATGAAATAAACTACCAGCATTAGTGAAGAAAACAATGTTCAGAGACAGCTTGTAGCAAAATTTTCTTCTGTGAAGAACTTGAGATTTGTTTAGTAAATCTGTATCATGCCTTTACAACAGGAGGTATGTTTAGAAAACTGCTGTCTGTTTGTATTTATTAACTTCTTTTTCTGATACATCCATTGCTGGCAATGGAGTTTATGCCAGAAAAAAACAACACAAAGAACGGATTTTTAATGGGGAAGGATTTCCAAACTGAAGCTAAATGATTGGTATTTACTGAATGTTCCTAAACACAATAAATCATTGTCAATTTAAGCAGTGTGCTTCTTCAAACTATCTTCATATGTTGGATAGGAGTGCTCTTCTAAAATGAGTAAAACTTAATCCCAATTTGTTCAAGTTGAAGTTCTGATACTTATCCAAGCAAACATGGTAGTCTCACCATCCTACCAGATCATGCGCACAACTGTGAAGCACTGTGGAGTAGAAGCAGAACAAGTTACCAGCCATTTGTCTTAATCTAGACACATACAGTATAAAGCAAAAGGTCCAGTCTATTATTTAAATCATGAAAGTTGCCCAAGTTTACAACCTGAAGCACACCTCCCTTCTGCAGACAGAGGTGAAGATAAAATTATCCGCACTCAGTGCATGGAGCAGCATAACTTAAATTTAGTTCACTGTTTGCCTTTGTAAGCAGTTAGTTTTCTACTCATTTAGTGATAGATACGTATTATTGCTGTTGCAATAATATACAGGTATTGCTGTGTTATGTACTTTGGTGCTGCATTCCTTTTTATTGGCAACTTCACATTTTCAGAGGCTTTTTGTAGCTGTGAAAAAAATGTTATTCTTTAAGTTCTGGTCTGTACTTGTTAAGTTTTAGTTCACCATTTATCTAGAAACCTCTTCCTGCTAGCAGGAGGAAAAACTAAAAGTATGCTAAAAGAATGTTTTTGCTTTTCTTTTGTTTTTATTTCTGTAGTCTTCAAAGCAAATCACACCATAAACCTTAATGTGGTGTGAGTAGGAACCATAGCTTTCCTTTTCCCCAGTTATTCAAGTGTAACAGCTGTAAGAACAGTGAATCAACAAGTTTGCATTTCATGAAGTTTTTGAAGTAAGACATAATTTGCCTTCTGTGAGAGGCATGGTCTCACGCAGTCAAGACTGACTGCTTTCAGTACTGCAGCTTCCTCTTTCAGCAGTTCTATATAAAGAGCTGAAGCTTAGGCATGGTTCAGTATTGGTGTAACAAATCCTATTCTCTCTTGATGCTGCCTAGGGAAGTGGAAAATGCAGTACCATTAATACACAGATTGTTAACAAAACAACTGGAGGTAAGTTTGAGTAATCCTCATCAAGCAGTTGTGTGCCTTGATCAAGTAGAAAGACTTGAATTGCACTAAATATGACTTTTCATCCTTTAGTGACCTCTTACAAATGAGTGAGGTGAAAACCATCAGTGGTGTGCAGGCCTTATGTGCAAATGCAGTACTGCTTTCCCTCATGTCAGAAGGGGAACATGAGTTGCTATTGCACTATTATAATTTCGGAGGCTGTAACCAGTAAGATACAGCATAAAGTTTAACTGTCTTACCTTCTCAGTCCTCCAACCATCCTGTTGCCTTTCCCAGCTTATGATACTTCATAAGTTCCTAAATTCAAATTGCCTTTTTATACAGCCAAAGTCAAGTTTCAGCAGTTTGCTTTATATATAAATACTGTTAGTGAATACATATAATGCTAAAGTTCTTAAGGGTAAAATTAATCAGTTTATATAAACAGTTTTCTGTAGTCCTCACAGTGAATTTTGTCAACTTAGCAAACATACTTCTGAAACATAAAATAAAGAGTAATAGGTACATTCTTATCTTAAGAGCTGAACCATCCAGCTGGCACATAAAAACATGGAGTGCAATGTTGTGTGCAAGGCCCTGAACTATCTGCGTATGAACTGCTTCTACAAAACATTACATAGGACGAAACTGGACTGTTTGTTCCAGCAAAGCTGCTGCAGCTGGTTGTGTGAAGTTAAAGACTGAGGCTTTCTGCCAGCAGATGAATCCATGGCAGCAGAAAGAGAGCATCTTAGTTACCAAAAAGCCGTACTGAAAGGTGTATTCCAATGGATTTTTTCCTGTGTGATCTTTTCCAAGTGCTGTGATCTCTTAACGTGGGAATTTTTTTCTCAGCGAGTTTCTGATTTCTAAACGGGTTTCACCTTATTTTAATCCAGCAACACCTCTCTGTTGATAAACATACCTGCATATGGCTTTACAGTAGCAGTGATCCTTGTTCAGCCCTTCAGCGCACCAGGGCATCATCCGCTCTCCTCTGTCCGTACCCAAGTCACCTGGTGTCATTTCAGCGCTGCAAACAGGACACATGCTGCCGCTCCTGCCGCTCCTGCAGCTCTTCGTGTGATAGGGCAGGGGAAAAAACGGGGCTGGCGGCCTGTCTCCCCGCGCTGTGCCCGGGAGGCCGCGCCGCGGGCCGCGCCCAGCAGCAGCCCCGCCGCAGGGCCCGCGGGCCGCCCCCAGCAGCAGCCCCGCCGCAGGGCCCGGCCGTGCCCCCGCCCCGCCGCCATCTTGTGTGGCCTGGCGGCGCGGGGAAGAGCGGAGCGGGGCCCGGCGCGGCCTCGCCGGCACCGCGCCGCCCGGGCTTCCCCCGCCGGGCAGGGCAGAGGCACGGCGCCGACCCTGCCCGAGCTGCCCGCTGGTGTGCTGCTCTGCAGATCAGGAGCAGCGAATGGATTAGGAAGTGCATCACATTACCACAGGACAGGCAGACAAAAACAGCAGCCGAAGACAGTAATTTAAAAGTACACTTAGATTACTTTTGTAACATTCAGACTTAGAAATGATCCTAAGAATGAATGTGTGGCGTCTCAGGAGCGATCTTGAGAAAGATGCCAGGAAGAGCCAGCGTGGCCAGTAAGGGAGGCAGCAGAGCAGTAATCTCGAGCACCTCATTCACACAGAGCTGACTCTTAAATTCGCCATGCCCTGCCTGTCTGTTGTGAAAAGCCGTACAGCCCCTGCTCCTCAGGCTACCCCGGCCCTCTGTTCATCTTCCTTCCCTTTTCTGTCCAAGGACCATGATGTTGCCTTTGTAGTCTTCAGGCAAGCCTGGTTCCTGCTGCAGATGGTGTGCTTTGGCCAAACCTCACCTACTGGACTTCGTGGGACTGGGAAGTTCACAGATTGTCAAGCTAGAATGTATAACACTCTGAGTCTTGCGCAAAAACCTGTTCACCTCCAACATTTTACTCCTTCAGTCCTTTGTTTCTTCCTTTGTTGTTTCTTCTGGCTTATTTTTTTTTCTCTAGATCATCAGATTTCTTCATTTAGCTGCTTTCTACACATAAAAAACAATGTGCTGAGTAAGTAAAACTGTGATATTTGAGTTGCCTCCATCAGATTGCTCATTGGGCTTGTTTTTTCAGCATTTTATCCTCTTTACTCAGCCTGTAACGCCACCAGCCAGGAGTAGTCTAAAGTGGCAAGTGGTGTTGAGTAAGGCTTATTATGAATCAAAATTATAGTTCCTGTTCCATAAGTTCCTTGGCAAATCCCTCATCATTCAATTTGATTCTTCAACTATGCACTAGAAATAATACTATTTTCCCCTTTTTAGAGGTACTCAAAAAGCAACCAGTTCTATGTGGCTCTGCTTGAGCAGGGAGTTGGACAAGATGACCACCAGATGTTCTTTCCAACCTCAGCTGCTTTGCAGCTCTGTGATTACCACAGAAGGTACAGTGAAGAACTGATCGGCATTTGAATATTGCATGGGTAGAGGCTGTAGGCATGTTAGGCAAGCAGAAGGAAGTATTGAACTCAAAAATGGTAAGAAAACCAACAAAAAGCCCAAGGAGAATGGGCAGTTGAAGACTTGCCAGCAAGGAAAAATCTGCTGACCCCTACCTTTCACCAGATATCTTTCAAGCTGGGATTCATGGTCCTACAGAGGTTGAGTTTCAAGAACAATAAGCATGTGATGAGTGCAAATGGTAAAGATTAATGGTAAAGATTAAACCAGAGTTTTGTAAATGGCTTGGCAAGCCAAGTCCAGCATTCCTCTACTGAGCGTAGGAAAGAAGCATAGGTGAAAAATAAAGAAAAGGTGATACACTCAGTAAGTGGCACAGCAGTGGACCATTTCGGTTTTTTTAGTGTTGTCACATGGTTTTTAAACAGTTACAGTTGTGTAACACTGCAAAGTTGTGGTGTTCCCAAAGATTTGCTTAGAGGCAGGTCTTCATACAACTGTCTATTAATGGATGGTTGCACAGTGTAATGTAGGTGCACTCATCCTCCATGAAGACAGTGGAAGAGAAACTCCACTGAGGCATATCTGGGGTGTGTTTTCTGTTTGGAAGTCTTTCTGAGAGACTTTCTGACCTCTGTTGACCAAGAGGCTTGGGGGTTTTTGGTTGTGATTGACATAAGAGAGCAGAGCTTCTGTCTGAGTGTGTTACTTGACTATGAGCACTTGTTATCTACTACAAAGTCAATGTGATGTGAACATGGTAACCAGGGGGCCACTGGAAGTGGCCTTCTTCTCTTTATTCAGGTTGAGCACAACATAACTGGGTGGACAAGTCCCCTATCCAACAGTTCAAAGCTTTTTAAAGCATTTGATGAGAAAGAGGGTATAACTGGGGTGTTCTTGAAAAGAATAATTTTTTTATGCAGCAATTCCATTTTTCATTTTACCATATAAATGCTTCATTTGAGACTTTTATCTTTATACAATTAAGACTTGACATGGAAATTGCTCACAAATTCCCTAAAATAGCTTAATCCACTGTTTGTCTTTAGTGTATTTAAAGAAGGATGTATCTTCTGATGAATTTGCAATATGTGGGGCTTTATTACAAACTGAGATACTTTTTGTATGCTTTGACTTGATCAGGAAATACACATGAAAGATTTCTGTGAGTTTCAGCTTTACCTGTTTTTCCTCATGTCTGTACATGTGGCACCCTGCAGACACCCTGCCATTAGGACGATGATTGAAGTCTGCACCTTGCTTGCCCATTTACATTGAATTTTGCCACAGCCAGAGCTGAGCGAAAACTGAATGTGGTTTTAATGCTTGTAACCTTTCACACTTTGGAAGTATGAACAAGCTGCTACGTTCCTTCTTCCTCAGGTCTTCTGCAAAATCCATGTCTGTTTATTCGGAGTTATTTGAGTGATGGTGAGGCATTACAAATATGTTTAAACAACCGTCTACAACATGTGACATGATGCTTGCCTCTTTCCTCACTGTCCTGTGACTTGCATTCAGTGAAGTGTTTTCTTTCCCCT